AAATTCAATGATCTCGTCTTACCCAGTACGAACTGTTCGGGCAATAAGCCACTCCAGACATAATTATAAGTCGTATATGATGCCCCAATGTGCCAATAGGCTACCAATTCGAACGCAATACAAAAGAAAACGAGCTCTGGAAGGAATTACCAAATCCTACACACTAATACAGACTTTCCTTGGAAAACAGGTAGCAAGGCATACAAAGATAGCGTATAGAAAACTATACTCGATTTCACACTGTTGCGGCGTGCAACTCGATCCGGATAACATACCCATGGCGGCGTGCCACCCGATCCACACATAGATCTCGCATAAGGAGATACACGTCGAGCCAAATCTGCTCATTATAACAAAATACCGAATATCGGTCATGAGCATGCTAAGTGCATAATATCATCCCTGAGGGATGTTTAGCGTTATAAACTACAAAACTCAAGCACAACTGAGGTGCGATATACAGTCTGAATTTCAAGAGCCAAGTTGCTCAAGTAACATTATTCCTACGCGGATTCTCAACACATAAGCAATTTCTCGAGTCATTTCACAAATCACACGGCGTAATGCAACACTACGCGAGATATCTGGCAATGAAGCATCAACCTAACTACTCCTCCATGAGGACCGCGTTACAAAAATGCACACATCTGGCCTGATATAGATCCATTATTCACATTAAGTCTATCCACCGACTTCAAGCCGATTATGCTCACAATGAACCAGTTTGACAACCTTTCAAGGGTCCATAATAACTCCCTTTTTCACATAACACACAAGAACAACCATCACAATCGGGGTAATCCTTCCCAGTTCACAACCCAATATGCCAAGTGCCCTCCAGGCATGAATTCCTCAATTTAACGACACCATCACAACCTTGATACTTGGTTTACATCTTTAATCAGTCAAGTGACTACATGTCACACTTATATAATCTTCCAGCGGGACACACTCCCACAACCTACCGCAACAATATTTGGGGCGTACCTCCAAACCACCGGTCGCACTAACGCTGAAGAGCGATCAAGAATCATTAGCCAGGACGCAAAGCCCTTTTTACAAAACACCGATTTAGGTGACGCTGAAGATAATACCAATTTACCTTAACAATCGAAACTTCTTTCCTGCTCATCCGAGCTCATGACATCTTTGTCAAAATTTTCCCTTCACTCGTGCCATTCCCGGCCCAATCTCCACGACCAGAGCTGATTCACCAGCATGCATCAAATCAGAACTAACATAGTACATAACCACCAATCCGCTAACCAATAGCAAGCTCCCCAACTTGGCTCGAAGCCATATATCACAACACACTATACTCATAACGCATATGCTCCATTGCTGTCGTAATACCATAGTGAGATTGAACCCGCTCTTTCATAAGCTTGTGGAAACTCAAATCATTTGGAATTTTAACTCTTCTGCATTTTCTTGCATTCACTCACATAACAGTTAAGCCTACCCTCCAGGCGACCAATTTTCACTAAGTCCCAATTTCTTTTTTTTAAAAAAAATTTCGGCAGAGTTTCCCTTGTAATTGGGCCTATCCACCTGCCAGAGAATCACCAAACCATCCTAGCAACACGGCCAAAACTTGACAAGCATCAAAATGTATATCAACATAAATCTCAATACTACATGTATTATATTATCAAAATTGACACATGGGCGTGGGTTGCACCTATTCGAATCATAACACATAGAAGATACCTTTCGATCCTCCATTATTGGAATATTCAACCGATTAAGAACATATTCTATCCTTAATGTTTTTGACCTTCAAGGTGTGCTCCTCGACATAGATTTCGTCACAATACATTTACAGAAGTGATCTTAGCTCCCAGACTTCTAACTAGTATAACAAATGGTTTCCCCTCATAAGCCAATTACCCATTAGCTTTACCTTTAGTTAATGTTTTTGTATACCTTCCACTGTCATACACACTACACAGTACCAACATACTCATTACGTAGCTATCCAGCAGCCATTCCCACAATTTGGGACAATACTGAACATATAAGTTCATAACTCCAGCTCACAAAATCAGCACCTTGGTGCTCAAGCCATAAGCAAAGGTCCGGCCTCATGTCCTCCAGACTGGCCCAACATCAACTCACGGAGATTACATCTCGCCCCCCCCCCTCGATCGGGGAAGCATAAGCCATCAAGGCGCATATACTACTAAGCGCTCATGTGCGCATACTGACGTGTGGAAGGAATTTCAAGAGGTATATCTCAAGCTGAATCAAGTACGCACGAGAAGAATTCCAAGAAAGTGAAGTTTTCCTAAAGGTTCTGCAGCCTCTCGTGGAGAAATACAGGCGTCCCCGTATCGTTCCACGAGACTCTACTAAACCGGCTCATGACTCATGAGGCCTAGTAACCTAGGCTCTGATACCAACTTGTCACGACCCCAAACCCGATCGTGATGGCGCCCAACACTAATGCTAGGCAAGCCCGACCATTTACTCTCCCAACCCGAGCACAGAGCTCAAAACCAATTAATCAGATACTTAAAATCAAATATTAATACTCATAGTTGAAATACTCAATTAAAACAATACGAAATACTGACATAAACTGTAACTCCCAAAGACCTGGGGTCATGAGTCTAGAGCCTCTAACTAATACAGAGTCAAGAATCCTCAAAATAAGTATGTTCTAAAGTACGGAAATAATAAAGGGATAAGGGAGGAGTCGGGTCCTGCGGACGTCATAGCAGCTACCTCGACCACTCCTGGAACTCTGGAAACCAGCGGCTAGCTCAACTAAGCTCCCGAAGTACCTGAATCTGCACACAAGGTGCAGGGAGTAGGGGGTGAGTACTACCAACTCAGTGAGTAATAAGCATATAAAATGTNTCTAATTTTTCATCATTTGTAGTCATATACTGTTGGAATTGCGTCTCTAATTTCTGTAGAGACTCGTCTGTAGCTTTAGATCTTGTTTCTGCTCCTGTCATGTTGTACTGGCCAGGAAAGAGCTCTGATACCAATTGTAATATACTAATGAATTGAAATACAAATTTGGGACTAAAATGGTGATTTTTATTGAATTGTCAAATATTACAAGTGAACCAATGATTGAGAATGTAAATTCACTCTAAGAACAAAAGCTTAATCCAAAAAGGCTTCTAATCTCCATTGAATTCCAAGCTATCACCTGTAAATCAATGGCGATTGTTAGAGAGAAGGAGAAGAGAATGAGAAGGTTAGAGAGAGAGAGAGAGAAATGAAGGGAGAAATAACAGAATTTACCAGATCATAACTGCCCCATTCTTTAGGCCTAGTTTCGGTTATAAACTCCTTCAGCTGGCCTAAGTCCATTAGAGAGCTAATAACAAATCTAGGCCCTGTATTTTATTGAAGTATCTCAGCCGTCCACTCTGGCATGTGCTTCTCACGAGAGGGCTTTATTTAATTTCCCTAATTCCCTTCTTCATTTCATCTCTAGCCGACATCTAACAACTTACTAGCTTCCGATGAAACCTGATTATTTTCGGTCCTAACACCATTCTTGCTCTTGCCCATTAGAATCTTTAGATATGGCTACTAGTTGGCCAGAAGCACGTTTAGGATTAGCTATTAAAACATAAGAGCATTGTCCTGCTAAGTGGCCTAATCTGCTGCAGGACTTACATAAAAAGTGATCTCCTTCATATAATATGCTTTGTTTATCAGACCCTATAAATATCAAAGACTTAACAGGTTCATTAAGAGGTAATTCCACTCACAATCTTGCATACCGTCCTCTTAGTGTTGCTGAAGTACACCCATTAATCTTCAACGGTCTCCCAATTGTATTCCCAATTTTTTGCAAGACTATACCATCATAGAATTCAGTTGGCAATTGGGGAAGGCGAACCCAAACAACTGTAAATAAATGCTTCGTCTCTGTAGCTACAAAGTTTGGCTCCCAACGTTGAACTGAAAGAAAATGTCCAAATATGAACCATGGATCATTTTGCAGTGCGTTGATCATATTTTCCTCTTTTGTAAACTTTATAATGAAATAATCTGCCCCTAAATCAATAAGAGGAAAATTTTTCTGCGATTTTTTAAAGCTCCTGTATTTTCTTCTTCAAGTAGTGGTGCAGGATACGTTTTCTTTGGAGTTTAATGATTACAAAAAATCTCCAAGGATAATAAATCCTCTGCATATCCTCCTTCGATAGTTGGACATGATGAGTTGTATTATATGTTCCATTCCCCGAAAAAGACTTCGTGGTAGCAGAGGTTGGCCATGGAGTTAATACTGATAAAAGTTTCATGTTCACTTGCTAATAATTTGTCCTTGATATCAGGGGTTTCGAAGGGATTGAATCAAGCATTTGCTGTTGAGACATTTGACATTTGAGAGAGCAGAGAGAGTAGAGAGAGAAACTTTTTCCGGTGTTCTACTGAAATTCATAAACTAACCAAAATATTCTTCTATTTCATCATGTACATGCTTTTGAGACTACTAATTACTCCTTAGAATTTTTCTAAAGGTAGATTGACTTGTTGTGTGGCGTAGTTTTTGTTATAAATTGACTTCTTGTGTTTAAAAGGTCAATTCCCATTGACAAAGTTATTCCGTTAGGTTGTTTAGTGCGAGAGGTGATAACTGATCCCGAGATTAAACTTGAGATGAGTTTATCCCATATATGTTTGGTCGGAATAAAATCGCGATATAAATAATCTCGTGATTAAAAGTTCTGGGATTGTATTGTTATTTTTAACTCTATGGAAGGGTGGAATAACAATCTTAAGATAACTAATCCCGAAATAATTAATTTTGGGATAACTTATTTCCCAACTAAACGACCACCCTTTATTATTATTTTAATGTTGTGTATAGTAACATTTAATGATGAATGGAGCTCATCACACATTTAAAGGAAAAAATTGTGAAAGGAAAAGTGAAACTAACTTTTGAAAAAGTTTTATTCTCCACGTAAATTCTAAAACTTGTTTTCTTTTTTTAGTTATTTTTTCTAACTGAAAACAGATTTATTCTTGAAATACTATACTGTATATTTGAGGATAATGTCAGTGAGTAATGTTAGCCAACGGAATGGACTAGCATCAATGAAGAGTAGTGGTCTTCTTCTTCTTCACCTACTACCCTCTCAACTCTCAAACCCCAACAACCATTCTCTCCTTCTTTTCTTCCCTCAAAAACCCCAACAACTCACTGCTGCAAATTCACTGTCTGTTCATATTCTTTCGCAGCCTCTTCATCTATGCAGGTCTAGCAAGTGGGACCCAAATGTTGAGTCTATCAAGAACCAGAATTTTATTAAATTTGGAGATTTTGAAAATGAGGAAGAGGAGGAGTTTGATAGGGATGAAATCTTGGACCAAGGAGCTCAAGTTTTGGAGGAATATATTGATAGTATTTGGATTTTTAAGGTACCATTTTTACTGCTTCTCCCTTTTATTCTTCAGCTACAATTTCATTTCTTTGCTGTAAAGTTTGTTCCTTTTTTTTTCCTCCTTTATGCATTTCGGGCACTTGAATTTTGGATTTTCTGCTTTAAGTTTGGATCTTTTTGGGATGGATATGGAGTTTTGGCACTTTTTGGTGCTTTAATTTGAATTGAAGAACAAAGAAGAATACTGTTGGTTGAGCTAATCAGCTACATTATGAATGACTGTTTTTTGTATAAATGAATTCAGATGCTAGTGTAAAATGATGCCTTGGATAATGCTGATTGATTTTTGTTTTTAGAGGCATAAACTTGGCTTTTAATTTAGTTGAAATGCATAAGTTGTGTTCTTGAGTTAAAAATTGTTGAAGTACATAATGTTAAATTAGTGAGAAGGGTTGTGGTTACTAGGAAGACAATCTTGAGCTGATAGCTAGATTATTCCAAATAATTTTCTATCTTCTCCACAATATTTGAAGAAGCTATATAAGAATTGACAACATTCCAAGATTCATTATTAAACGTTGAAAATCCTTGTCAGCAGAGGCGGATCTATGATTTAGATTCTATGGGTTCAACTTGTAAGATTTTTAGCATTGAACCAATTGTATTTTTAAAGTTATGGGTTCAGACCTACCAGTTGTTGCAATTTTAATGAACTTTTACACATATATTTATGCTCCGCTTCGAAAGTACTTGGTTCAGATGAACCCGGAGGCCAAACTCTACATCCGCCCCTGCTTGACAGACTTAGACCATTTGCATATGCTACACATATTTCAACTGCAATAGTTGAATCCTTTGAAAATAAATTCCCACAATAAACACAATGTAGGTCATGTTATCTCTTCCTTGTGTGCCTAAGAAGATTATATCACATAAAATATCTTGAAAGGAGTAGAATACGATGTCACTTCTCATGGAATACACTGATCGCAAACACAATGGTGCGGAAGCTCACCGCTTATGTGTTAAAACTCTCTATGTATATCAGAATTCTTTGCTAAAACTGTTAGGATCTCTACAACCAGTCTTTTGCATAGGTGGTCATGATAATGCTTGTCAAGAGGAATAGGTTGAGAATGAAATTTGAGGACAAAAGAGAATTATCAAGACTCAAGACCTAGCTTTATTTAATTTAGCTCTGAACCAGGGTCAAACTGTGATACTAGTTCGTCCTTCAAAAAAAAGGACAGCCCGTTGCACTAAGCTTCCGCTATGCTCGGGGTACGGACCACAAGGGTTTATTGTATGCAGCCTTACCCTACATTTCTGCTAGAGGTTGTTTCCGCGGCTCGAACCTGTGACCTCCTAGTTCGGTCTTCAGCATTGAAAAAATATCCGCTGCACATCTAATTATGCTTCTTGAGATCCTTCCTTAATGGATATCTTATGCACTAATCTAACCACAGTACTAATACCAGGGTTGACGCTTCAGACTTGAAAGGCTCTTTGATTCTGATAATATTCTTCTTGCATCAGAAAGCTTTTTCTTGTTTCTTTGTTCCAGTGTTCTTGTTTGATTAGTTGAACCTTGTCACATTGTTCAACTGCCAAATCTGATGTTTTCTGAATAAAAATCAACTGTAAAATGGTTCGCTGATATATGAACGCCTGAATAATCTTTACCTAAAACTCTGAATAAAAATCACGGAAGCTCACCGCTTATGTGTTAAAACTCTCAGTGTACATCAGAGTTCTTTGCTAAAACTGCTAGGCTCATGATAATGCGTGTCAAGAGGAATAGGTTGAGAATGAAATTTGAGGACAAAAGAGAATTATCAAGACTCAAGACCTAGCTTTAATTAGTTTAGCTCTGAACCAGGGTCAAAGTGTGATACTAGTTCATCCTTCAGCATTGAAGTAATATCTGCTGTGAATCTAATTATGCTTCGTGAAATCCTTTCTTAATGGATATCTTATGCGTTAATCTAACCACAGTTCTAATACCTGGGTTAAGGCTTCAGACTAGAAAGGCTCTTTGACTTCAGAAAGTTTTTCTTGTTTCTTTCTTCCAATGTTCTTGTTTGATTAGTTGTACCTTTTCACTTTGTTCAACTGCCAAATCTGATGTTTTCTGAATAAAAATCAACTGCAAAATGGTTTGCTAATATATGAACGCGTGAATAATCTTTACCTAAAGCCCCGTGGAATCAAGGAAATTTCCCAAGCGCACAAACAGATCACATCTGCTTTTCTTTTGCATATCTTGCTGCTTCCATCAGCGGTAGTTCGGATAAACACTATGAAAAGAGAAGAAAGAAGAGATCTGGGAAATGTATTGCTTGATTATTCTCTCAAGCATGTTGGATTTTAAATAGTACGTATTTACTTGTCATGCCATTTACTGGGCATCATCATAAAGCGGTGCAGAAGCTCACCTCTTACATTTTCAATCCCATACGGACGTCAAATTCTTTGCTAAGGCTAGTCTTCGTTTCCGCATTCTAAAAACATTGGTGCTCAACAGAAAGAATGAGAGCCACATGTTCAAGAGTCATTAGACGAACCCCATTTGACAATAATTACTCTTGCTAAAATTTTCTCCGACAGAAAATTGAACTTGGGCAGATATGTTTTTGTCAAATAACTTACAAGTTAGCATTCTTTGGCAGTGCAGGTTTTCTGGTCCTATGGTTGGGCGCTTCCACCAATTCTAATAGCATTGCTGATAACAGGAGGTCCTAAAGCTTTCCTCATGGCATTAGCCATTCCCCTTGGGCAATCCACATTTTCCTTTGCAATCCAAAAGATGCTGGATGCGACGCAAAACAAACCAAGGCGCAAGAGTAGAACTAAGAAGAGACAGCGTGCTTCCGCCTCAAACAAGACAAACTTTGGGAGAAGAGGAGGAAGCCCCAGGACACGAAAGAGAAAGCCCGGCTATCAAACATGGGCGTCCACAAATGGCGTCTCAGCTAATAAGGATGAGCCCGAGGTATCTAGATGCGGAGGCTGGGATGAACTTGATCAAGTAAGTGAGTCTATTAGCACTGGTGCGTTTGAAAGTTCAGCTCAATCATCAGTTGGAACATCAAAAATACCTGTGGAAAAGGGTAACTTAAGTAAACCAGAAGCAAAAAGCGATACGCCCCTATTGTTAAGGTTGTTGATTGCCATTTCCCCATTCTCGGCTTCATGAACTAAGTTGCTATAGTATATGGGCAGCTTAATTTGAGTTACTCCGGCGCTTAGGAGATTCTTTGTTTCTCTTGCTTTACAACTTGTTTGGATGGTTGTTTCCCGATGTATCGTATTGTATTGTTATCCCAAAACAATGTTTGTTTTGATTGTTTCATTAAAATTGGTTGTATTGTATTGTTAAATCCATTGTTTCGGAACAATGAAAAGTCTCATTTTTTTAAACAACCGATTTGGTGTGGTGGGATTGTTTCCTATTTTCCTTTCCAATTATGCCCTAACTTATTACTCCACAATTCTATTTTACCCTTTACCTTTTTTTCTATTTTAACTCTAAATTTCAAACCTATAACCTATTTTTTTTTTTTTTTACAGAATTTCTGCCGCCAACGTTAAAGGTGTTTTAACGCCTTCTGTTTTATATCTCCTAATTTGCTTTTAACTCGATTCTAATTAGCTATGCTCCTTTGTTTTGCCTTCTTCTGTCTCGCTCCTCTGTTCTGCTTTCTTAAGGTTCTTTTGCCTTCTTCTGTTTTGTTTTTTATAATTATTTGTATGCATAATTTTTGATAATTTTAATATTTAAACAATTGAGGGTATTTAGTAAACTTATCAGTTACAGTACATTACGATACAGTCAACCCAAACAGTAAAATATTATTTAACAATAACATACAATACAATCTATTCAAATATTGTATTCATAAAATGATACGATACGATACAAATAGAGTGTTAGTATCTTCTATTTGCATAGCTAAAGATGAGACTGAATGATCCAAACAGAGTGTTAGTATCTTCTATTTGCATAGCTAAAGATGAGACTGAATATTGCACAAAGGATTGAATACAGGGTAAAGGGTATCTACAGAATAAACATGAACAGTTTTTTATTTTATTTTATGATGTTTTCCTTTTTCTCTTTCAATTCATTGAAGAATTTATATTTAAGTTATAATGATCATATTCTGAATACTTGTTAGAACCCTTAAAAAAGCATTCAATAGCTCTATCAAGCTCTAGGCTTATCTCGATGTAATTAGCACAATATTTTACTTGACCTACATAACTTTGCCAGAGTTAACAATAATTTATGCTTGATTCATTGTTTTATCATTTTCCGTTTCATGTTAGTTTAAAGTAATTAGTGAATAGGGTAAAAAATAAACTAATAGAGTAATTGTATTGGAAAAAATTGAGTTTACATATTGAAGTGATTGAAAGATGACGTGCCATGACACGAAGGCGGGTAAAAGAATGACACGAATTGCAACAGATACGAGCAGAGGCACAAGTAGAGGCACGAGCAGTTATTCAAAAGACTCAAACGCTCGTACCTATTTAAATCCAAAAATCAAGGAGAATAAATCTGACAGCACAAGAGAGTACAGATACATTATTTAATAAGCATTAAATACTAAAAACGTTAGAGAATCTGTATTAAATTACAATGATTATGTAACATAGCATTTAATGCCTTTAATTGTCTATGATGGCCTTGTTATGACAAAGGTAAAACGTATAGCTATAAAAGGGAGAGAATCGATCATTTGTAAGGACACGAAATATCAACGGAATACACTGATTTACTTTATTTTCTGCTATCTATTTTATTGTTATCAAAGTCAATTTCTTTTATTCATTTTTGATTATCAGTAACCCGAGTTCTTCTAAAAATAAAGCTTTGACCGAAATTCCATTTTTTGGTTAAACAAATTGGTTCCGTTACCGAAAAAGTGATAATCTATTCTTTCTTAACCTAACCTTTTTTTGTTGCATCAACAACCATGTCAAACGTTAATGACAACACCCAAGGAAACCAAGGAAACCAAATAAACCAAGGAAACCCTCAACTCCAGGGGAATTCACAAGATGACCGCACCCCTCCACAAAGTTCCCCTCGGCGGTCTCGAGATGGCACTCCTGATGGATCTTATTCAAATGCAAATGCTTAATTTGATAACGATGCCGCTATTAATGAAGCTTTGCAAAAGCTAATCGCTCAACAGGTCAATAAAGCTCTTGAGGCCTTTGCCAGCCAGTTACCTGTTGCACCTTCAACACCAATTCCAAATAACAACACTTTGGAAAACCCTCTGTCACGACCCAATTTCCAACCCGGTAGTGATGGCGGCTCTCGTGAAGACAAGGCCAGCCAACTACCCCAAATCGTCTCTTTAACAATTATTAAACATAAATGAATAGATAAATACAGCTTAACGACAATAATAACCAGTATTTGCAACCCTACACAACCCGACCGGGGTGTCACAAGTCACGAGCATCTAGGAAAAAACCTTAACACAACTACAGGCCAATAAATATATACAAGTGAAATTTCTGGAAAACAAAAGACAACATCCGGTGCCGCGAACGCTGGCGGTCACCTTGCTCAGCTACAATAAGAATACCTTCAATCCGCTAATAACCCGCTACCGGGTGAACGATACTTGCAATTGCACGCGAAGTGCAGGGAGTAAAGTGAGTACTTCCAACTCAGTGAGTAATAGAAGTAAATAATAACTGAGCAGCGAGAAATCACGTAAAGCAACCAACGAGCTGTACAGAAGCTGGGTACAATTTCCGAGAAAATAGTGAAATCAGAGAACTTCTTAAAAATGTTTCGGCTCAGTTCAAATCTCTTTAGAAATTGGTCCTTTCAATAATTACGAGAGCTGTTCAAAATAGTTAGTGCTGATTAGCACAGAAAATCCGCCCCTCGGGCCCAAATACCACAGCATAGCAGGTAAAAATGCAAATAAGTATGCAAGATGAACACATAAAAGTTCGTCCCTCGCGCATGAATTTTGTTACTAGTCAGTCATTGTTACCTGACCGGTCAGCTATTGTTACCTGACCCAACGCGTGTTTCAGTGCCATTGTTACCATTGGTCAGCCATTGTTACCTGACTGGTCAGCCATTGTTACCTGACTGGTCAGCCATTGTTACCTGACCAAAACACGTATGACAGTGTCATTGCTACCACTGTCCAATTCTAAATGGGTACCCGCGCTCACTGTGGGTGTGAAGACTCCGGAGGAGCTCCTACAACCCAAGCGCTATATCATCATAAGGCCTGAAAGACTGTAGATATCAACATGAGGCCTGAAAGCCTTCTCACAGCACACTCGAGGCCTGAAAGCCTCCTCACAATACACTCGAGGCCTGAAAGCCTCCTCACAATACACTCGAGGCCTGAAAGCCTCCTCACATCACTCAGCATATCCTCACATATGGCCCTCGGCCTCAATCAGTCCATAAATAATCATAAGCCCCTCGGGCATCAGTAAAGAAACAATAATGCTCAGCTCAAACAGTAGTTCAAATATCAGTTAAAACTCGAGGTTGAGTGAAAATATAGCTGAGTTCATGAAACAGTGTAATGATAATGGACTGAGTTCAAATAATATTTCAAATAGTGAGGAAAACAGTGATGATAGCTCATAGGGAGTTCAAATAGTCGGCAATAAGCCCCAATTATGGCAATAAGCCCAAGTCCTAGTGAAAAACAACAAGTCATAGCGAAATACGCGGTAAAATCGATAACCGGGACGGACCAAGTCACAATCCCCAACGGTGCTCTACCCCACGCTCTCTATCTGGCGTGCAAGTCACCTCAATAGGTGCAAATTCGGGGTTTCAAACCCTCAGGATATCATTTACAATCATTACTCACCTCGATCAGGCGAAATCTCTAGCCCGCGATGCCTTTGCCCCTCGAATCGGCCTCCACGCGCGTCGAATCTAACCAAAATCAGAGCGAGTACATCACAATATGCCAAGGGAACGATGCCCAATCGAAAACAATTGAAATATAGCAAAAATCTCGAAACTAGCAAAACCCGAGCCCCGGGCCCACTTCTCGAAAAATTACAAAATTCACATTACCGTATTCCTCGTCTCGCCACGAGTCCATACATACCAAGAACTCCCAAATCCGAGCTCAAATGACCTATCAAATCCCAATTTGAAATATCAAAAACTCAAGCCCTAGCTTTACCCCTTTTTAATGAATTCCAACCAATTTCCGTGTTAATTTTAACAAAATCTCGAGTATTTAGGCCAAGGAACTTACCTCTAATCATTCCTCCTTGAATCCCTCTTCAAAATCGCCTCAAAGCTCTCAAAGCTCGCTCAAAAATGGGGGAAAATAATACCTAGCTCGCGGAGGAAATATTTAATAATCAGCCCAGCACTTTCGCTTATGCGGGACCGCTTCCGCGCTATTCGTTCCGCTTCTGCGGAAATCCCACTCTCGAACCAAACCGCTTCTGCGGTCACAACATCGCATAAGCGTTTCCGCTTTTGCGGCTACGCCAACGCTTCTGCGGAACCAGGCGCCCAGGCCTCTTCACCGCTTCTGCGGTCAACCCATCGCTTAAGCGGGTCCGCTTCTGCGGTCCAAGACTCGCAGAAGCGAGAATACCAGATATCAGCAACATTTGAAGTTTCCAAGTCCAAATTTCATCCCGCTAGCCATCCGAAATCACCCCGAGGCCCCCGGGACCTCAGCCAAAGGCACCAACATATCCCAATACATCATACGAACTTGCTCCAATTATCAAAACACACCTAACAACACTAAAATCATCAATTCACATCGGATTCAAGCCTAAGTTCTTCAAGAACTTCCGAAATGCACTTTCGATCAAAAACCCGACCAAACGATGTCCGAAAGACCTGAAAATTTGCACACATATCCAAAGTCACTTAACGAAGCTACAGCAACTCTCGGAATTCCATTCCGACCCCCGGATCAAATTCTCACCCATCCACCGGAATTCGTCAAAATACTAACCTCGCCAATTCAAGCCTAATTCTACACCGGGCCTCCAAAATCAATTCCGATCGCACTCCCAAGTCACAAATCATCCCCCGAAGCTAACCGAATCACCGAAAATCACATCCGAGCCTTCTAACTCAATAGTCAACATTCGGTTGACTTTTCCAACTTAAGCTTTCCTTAAAGAGACTAAGTGTCTCATTTCTTATCAAAACCAATCCAAAACAACTCTAACACACCACATACCGATAACGAAACATGAAGAAGCATGAAATGGGGAAAATAGAGCAATAAAACATGAGGCGACGGGTCGGGTCGTCACAAAAATGAGAACGGGTGGTATGCCTACCACAAGATATAATAAAAT